CAGGAGAAAAATCCTGGAAAAAGGGATTTTTCCAAAAAATTTGAGTGCCACACATCCTTTTCCTTTTTTCTGCTCTCAGGGAAAGGGAATTTAGGAAGCACCTTAGAACCTGCCAGGCAGGGCTCAGATTTCCAATCCAACCCTCTTTATTTCAGCCCAGCAGGCTGCAAATCTGACTCTGTGCTTGCTTTCATCTGCAGAAGTGTTAATTAAATTGAATTTCATAGAATTACTGAGTCCTTAAGGTCGGAAAAAGCCTCTCAGATCATCACCCAGCACCGTGGTCACCGCTAAACCATCAGGTGCCACATCCTTGTGGTTTTTAAGCATTTCCAGTTTGAACTCCTCTGAAAGACTGAATGAAATTAAATGAAATTAATTAATTACCACTTGGCAAATGGACAGATTTATTGGGCACCATCAGAGCCATTATCACCTGAAGGACAAATTCTCAGCAGGAAACTGGGCCATTGTTTTTCTCTCAGCTTCTCTCCATAGAGTTGGGAATTAGGGATCACCTGTGCTGTGCAGAGACTCCCAGAAAAACACTCAGAATATGCAAAAATTGAACAGGTTGAAGATAATAAAAGCTTTTTTCACCCTAAATCTTTATTTTTCTGCAGACTGGCATCTCTGAATCCTTCAGCCTGTTCCCAGGAGACGAAGAACATCTTGTACCAGAAAGCCAAAGAAGCTTTCTCTGATCAGCACCATTTACCTGCTTACTATGAGCTGATTTTACCTTACCTGGGTATGTAAAAATTCAGGATGTCGTGGAGAAGGAGAACTCATAGCCACAAACGAAATGGGTATCAAAATCCATCAAAGATTTGGGGATTTTTAAAGTCAAGTTGTTAAAAGTTTGTCTTTCCAGCTTGTAGATAGCACAAAATATTCTGTGCCTGCTTTAAGTTGCCCAAATCTGTTTCCTGACCATCACAGGGAAAATCAAACTCAGGATTTATCTCCAGGCCCTTTTCCATGTCACATTTTTTTTTTCCCTGTTAAGCCAAGAATTTTTCCAAATTCTCCCCACCCTTCTTTCCCCTGTCTGGCATCACCACAGATTTTTAATGCCCAACAAAATAACTCCCAATAAAAAAAGGAGGAGCATCCCCATGTTTTGCAGCTGGACCTCAGTGTGTTATCAGCCCCAGCCCAATGGGTTTGGAGAAATCCTCATTTTGTGCAGAGACCCAGCAGTGCTGCTTTGGGCTCTGCCATCCTTTGATGTTCTCCTTGCTTTGCTGCAGAGGGGGCTCCTGCTGCAGATCTGAAGGTTCTCAGCAAGGACGACGTGAACATGAACGTGAGCACCTTTGTGACCTTGAGGAGAGACTCCCTGATGGTGAGCTGGGCCTTGCAATTCTTGAATTCCCTGCATTTTGTTGTGTTCTCTGCTTGGGTTTGGTTGTGCTGTCCAGTGGTGGAAATCATCAAATCCAAATTCCATAGATATTTTTATTTTAAAATATTTTCTAATTATTAAATTTAATATTACATATTTTACATATTTTTTACATATTTTTACTTATACATTAAACAATACAGAATTATTTAATATATAATATATATTAAATTTATTATATCTATTTATATATTGTTTATCATTATTTATATGTAATGAATAATTATATATTACTATAATAATATTATTTAATAAATTATATAATCAATATATGATTAAATATCAAATTATTAGCTTATAATTAATATTAATTATTTGTAACAATACGATAATATTAATATAGATATATTAATATAGAATAAATATAATTATTACTATTTTTATTATTTATATATTGTTTATTTATCTATTATTCATATATAATATATATTATAAATATTAAATAATTTTATCTCTTTTCTATTAATTAAATTTTTTAAAATCTCATTTCCATCTCTGACACGGGGTCCATCAGCACACTCCTAACTCCAGCTGTGTGATTGTTTGTTTGTTTGTTTGTTTGTTTGTTTGTTTGTTTGTTTTTGGCAGCTCCTGACGCCCGGGGAGGTGCAGGGGCTGCTGGGGGTGCATCTCCCCGAGCTGGCGCAGTGGCAGAGCAGGGCCCCCGTGCGGGACTGGCTGGCGCTGCAGAAGCAGCCGGAGCTCGACAAACTCCGCGTCGGCCTCACGGGGGGCGTGCAGGAGGGATACATCAACCTCATCACCCCCAAATTCCCAGGTCGGTTTGGGGCCCTGGTGCTTGGGGTTTCGCGGTTCTCTCGGGGTTTGTCCTGGTTTAGCAAAGACAGGTGTGTGCTAAGGAAGGCAGGAGCCTCCCCTGGAATGGAAAATGTAAATCCCCCCTCTGAATTGCTATAAATTTGAAATTAAGGGGCTCTCAGGCAAAGATGTGGGAGCAGGAAATAACAGTTCTTTAATAGGGAGGAAAATAAAAGGATAAAATCAACAATGCAGTGAACTAAACCAACACTGCCAGAGTCAGAGCCCAGCCTGACACCCTGTGGGTCAGGCTGTTGGCAGCAGAACCATTGGAATTGTGGCTCAGCCCTCCTGCAGTGCCAGGGCTGGTTCTGCTGGCGCAGGGATCCTGCAGAAAGGTGCAGTCTCTGCCTCTGAAGATCCAGGGCAAGAGGCAGCTGCTGTTCCTCTGGGCAATCCAGTGCAGAAGCCGTGCTGCTGTTCCAGAATCTCAGATTATATCTGGGTAGGAGTGCTTGGCTCTCCCCTCTGGGCTCACATCTCCCAGTGGGATGCTGTAGCTCTTATCAGCCATGCAGGGACATCTAATAGCCTGTTATCAGCAGATCTCCCCCTGGAGGGAGGGTTGGGTGTGGAAGAGATCAGGAAAACTGCCCACAGAGCAGAAGACAGCTGCCATACAGATGGCAAATAGAATACAATTTACTTGGCAGCCCAGGACAGGGTTGCAGCAAGGGTTGCAGCAAGGATTGCAAGGGGGGCAGCTCTGCTGAGGAGGCTGAAGCCCTGCAGGGCAAATCCTGGGATCCCACTGGGAGCATCCCTACTGAGCATCCCAGCTGAGTGAGGAGCACTTCCAGGCCTTCCTCCTTGGGGGTGCTGGGTTTGGGCTTAGAGGCACGATCAGGGTGCTTGGGGTTGAAGGAAACTTGAGGATCCTCCAGTTTCAACCCCAAACTCAGCTTGGTGTTTGCTGTGCTTAGACAGGTGAAGAGAATCCCTGGAGGGGCATGGAGGGATGCTTTCCCCATGGAGGAGTGGTTCAGTTGTCAGATTAAGCCCTTTTCTGACTCAGAGATGGGGTAACTCAGAGGTGTTTTAAAAGCTTTTATTCCATTTTCAGTCTCATGTGAAGGGTGACACCATACAGATGTTAAAATTCACACCATCACAATCAGAATTTAACTATTTCTTAATTCTATTATAAGTATTTCTTGGCCTATCAGCTTTTTCTACACCATGCTATAAATGCCTTAAAGTTGATAATCTAAAATTACCCCTCAGTGGATCCTACCACAATGCATCTTTCACAGTTCCATTTCTCCAAAGTATCCAGTCTTATTTGCAAGGCCCTCCTTTGAAACTTGTTTCTAGTTCTACTTCTCTCTCTCAACAATGTCTGTCTCATTCCATGGCATTTCTAAGTCAGCATTTCTCATCTCAAACAAATCTTATCTCTAGAAATCCGTTTTCCACAGTTCAGTCACTGATGTCTCTGCTCTGATGTCCTCTTTGTCCTCCAGCAATGTCCTCAGCCCCTCTGGGCACCGTGGCCATGGTGTTCCACCTCCTGCCTGCCCTGCTCATCACCTTCCTCACCGTGTCCATCCTCTCTTGACCATCTCCTCCCACCAGGGACCAGCCTGTGACCTGCTCTGAGACCTGGCCTGAGGAGTGCCCAGAGCTCCAGGCAGCTGGGCTCAGCCCAGGACTCACTTTTAGGTACTTTTGGCTTTCAAATCACTTGGAAAAAAACCCCAGTTGTGTCTGAAGGGAAGATCCCAGACTCTTTGGTGCAGGATCTTTTCCTTTGGGACAGCCCAAGCCCAGCTCAGCCCCAAACCACTGCTAAACCCTATCTTACTGCTGGGTTTAAGGGTGAGTTCTGCAGGTTAAAAATGACATTTCCCAGAGCCTGACCTCGTGACACTGCCAAGACCTCAGGGTGGGAGTTAAGTTTGCCAGCTGCTTGTAAATAAATCCTGGAACTGAGTAAAAATGCCAGAAGCAAACTGATGAGTGTCTGCTCTTCCTTGGGGCTGCCCTCACCTTCCTGACTGCAGGAATCCCCCCCAAATGAAGACTCAGAATGCCAGGATCTGCCTGTTCCTGTTCCTTGGGGTTGCTGTTCAACATTTAGGAGCTGAGACTGTTCTCAGCTTCATCATCTGGAGGGAAAGTTTTTGCCCAAGGTTTTCCATATTTTTTCCCCACTCGTTGGAAATATCTGTCAAAAAAAAAACCCTCCATGAAACCTGTATCCAGCTCCTGACATCCCCCTTTGCTTCAGGAGGAGAGTCTGGGAGGGAAAAAGGGATTTGTATATTTTATGTCTTAAAAATCTTCACTGTCTGAGCTTTCTAGAGAGGGAGCAAGTTTGTCCTTCACTGCAGATTTGGCATTTATGCTGGAAAAGCTTCCCCACAAAGCACTAAACACCTCAAAAGACACATTGGGTTAGGAAAAACCAGATTGATGTTTTATTGTATAGCACTGAACAGTAATCAAGATAAATTATCTCCAGCTAATCATCCCAGGAGAGTCTGTGTGTGGTTTGAGCAAACCTTGATCAAAAAGCAGCTTGTGAAAAAGTTAAAGAGGATTTTTGGGGATCTCTCAGCTGTGGTGCAGGCCCACCAGTGACTCAGATCCCTGAGTTTTCCCACTGTTTAACAGATCCCAGTAGGATGGGATGGACAGGAAATCCCTGCAAGAGCTGGGCCCAGTGCTCTTGCCTTGGCACTGCTGGTTGTACTACAGGGAGTAAATCTCTAGTAAGGACCTGTGGGGCTTCTCCAGGCTGGAAAATTCTGTCCTCCTTCACTGGCCAGCCTCAAAAATAACCAAATCCTGTGCTGGCATCAACTGGGGATGAATTCTCTTCCCTTTCCTGGCTCCTGCTGTCCAGCAGGGCCGTGCCTGGCGCAGTTCCACTGGGCTGGAGGGAGGGGTGTGCAGGGTGGGGGTGCTCAGGGGGGCTCAGGGCAGCCCCCCCAGCAGAATGCTCCCCATGGTGGCTGCCAGCAGGAGAGCAAGGCAGGAGCAGAGCCTGGATCCTGATCCTGATCCTGATCCTGATCCTGCAGGGAGGGAGAGCACAGGGAATGGGATTCTGCAGCTGCCCAGGGAGGGCTGTGGGCTCAGGAGGTGATGGGACACCTTGAAGTGCACCTGAGAACCCAAGGGCAGCCCCAGGGCCATGTCCCCAGCTGTCCCCCAGCACTGAATCCCCCCAGGAAGGAGAGGGAGCAGGCAGCTTTGTCCTCCCCAGCATTGCCAAGCCTTTCCCACGTTCCCAGCTCACCAGGCACAGTCTGCAGGTTGATGTGGCCGTTGGAGGTTGGCTGGGCTGGCTCTGGAACACTCCCAGGTGTGGGTTTGGGGCTGGGGACAGCGCTGGGAGGGGAGCTGGGCTGGCATGGCATGGCTGGGGAGGAGCTGAGGCTTGTTTGGGGGGCAGTGGTGGAGCTGGGAATTGGGGTGGGCGTGTGTGGGGCTGGGGTGGCAGTGGGGCCAGGGGAGGGGTTAGGGACAGGAGTGGTAGTGGGGCCAGAGGTGGCATTGGAGATGGGGGTGGCATTGGGAAGAGATGTAGCATTGGGGACAGTGGTGACAGTGCTGTGGGTGGCAGTGGGAGCAGAGGAGGGGTTGGGGACAGTGGTGACAGTGCTGTGGGTGGCACTGGGAGCAGAGGAGGGGTTGGGGACAAGGGTGGCACTGGGAGAAGAGGTGGGATTGGGGACAGTGGTGATGGTGCTGTGGGTGGCAGTGGGAGCAGAGGAGTGAGGGACAGGGGTGGCAGTGTGAGCACAGGAGGGTTTGGGAGTGGGAGCAGAGGTGGGATTGGGGACAGTGGTGACAGTGCTGTGGGTGGCAGTGGGAGTAGAGGTGGGATTGGGGACAGTGGTGACAGTGCTGTGGGTGGCAGTGGGAGCAGAGGTGGGATTGGGGACAGGGGTGGCAGTAGGAGCAGAGGAGGGGTTAGGGACAGTGGTGACAGTGCTGTGGGTGGCAGTGGGAGCAGAGGAGGGGTTAGGGACAGTGGTGGCAGTGCTGTGGGTGGCAGTAGGAGCAGAGGTGGGATTGGGGACAGGGGTGGCAGTGCTGTGGGTGGCAGTAGGAGCAGAGGTGGGATTGGGGACAGGGGTGGCAGTGGGAGCAGAGGAGTGGTTGGGGACAGTGGTGACAGTGCTGTGGGTGGCAGTAGGAGCAGAGGTGGGATTGGGGACAGTGGTGACAGTGCTGTGGGTGGTACCAGCTGGGTTAGTGCCAGCGCTAGTGCTGGTGGTGGCCCTGGAGGTGACAGCAGGGCCTGGGGTGGCACTGGGGCTGCTGGTGGCCAGGAGGGTGCTGAGCAGGGTGGCAGCAGGGGAGGTGGCTCTGTCTGGGGTGGGGGCCGGGTGGGTGGAGCAGGGCGCTGTGCTGGTCACAGCAGAGGGGCTGGCAGTGGGGACAGGGGGGACAGTGGGACCCCCAGTGTGTGGGGGGCTGCCTGGGGGGGTTGGGCTCACAGTGCTCGGGGTGGGGGTCCTGGGGGGCACCGTGCTTGGCTGAGGGGTCGAGGGGCTGCTAAGGGCAGTGGTGGTGGGGACAGTGGTGGTGGAGGTGACACTGGCTGGGGTGGTGGCAGTGGCTGTGCTGGTGGCAGCAGAGCCGCCTGTCCCCGTGGGCTGGGGCCGCCCTCCCTGCAGGCCGATGTCCAGCACGCAGTCCAGCTCCTGCTGGGATTGCTGCTGCACCCAGCTCACCACCAAGGGCTCGTGCTCGTGCTCCTTCAGCTCAGGGAGGTTTTCCCCCAGCAAATGTTTCACATCAGTGACGCTGAGTTTCTGCAACACACACACAGAGCACCCCCTTGCCTCGCCCTCACAGCCCCAAACGCTTTGCTAACGGGGCTGCAGAGCAACTGAAACTTCCTAAAGGAAATTTATGAAGGTGAGAAAGTGGAGAATTGGTGATTTGGTTGGGCTCTGACCTCAGCCCCCCCTGCTCAGCGCTCAGCCAGCCCTGCCCTTCCCTGGGGAGAGGGGCAGCAGCACCCCAGGGCTGTACCTGCAGCTCCTCAGGGTTTAGGGTGAGGAAGGTGTCCAGATCCATGTTTATGGCCACACCAGCATTAGCCAACTCCTTCAGATCTTCTGCTGGAGCTCCACCTAAAAGAGAGCCCAGGGGACACCTGGAGATGTGCAAACCCTTCCAGCGCTTCTGGGGAGGGATTTGGTGAGGTTCTGGAGACTGCCAGGCCTGTCTGTGGCTGAGAAGAGACCCTGAACCTGGTGGAGGGAGGGAGGGAGGGTGGAGGGGAAGCACCTACCCAGGTATGGATGGATCTGCCAGTAATAGTAGCCAGGGGTGCTGGCCAGGCTGGCAAAGGCCTCCCGGGCCTTCCTATAGAGCTGATCCTTCTTGGTTTGGGAGCATGAAGAGATGTCCAACTGCCCAGCAGTCCTGGAAGGGGGGCACAGGTCAGCTCTGATGCCTTCAGTCTGAGCTTTCCTATCTCCCAGATTCTGCACTGCATTGGTCCATGACTCTGAACTCCATACAAAGTGTCAGCAGTTCTCCTCACAGCTCAGTCACACAGAACAATCCTTTTCCTTTTCCAGCCCCAGAACCAAGGACACCACTGCAGCTCCAGGCCCAAAAAGTGCAAACAGGGAATGGAGGAGAGCAGTCTGGGAGGGTGGGACTGCATCACCTGAGCTGGAATTGGACAATGAACCCAATATGGAAATGGACCAAAACTTAGCAAAGGGTGAAAACTCCTGACCCATCTTGGGTGTAGCCCTGGCCAGGCCCTTGCACTGCCCAAGGTGAATCCTTTGAGGCCTTTTAATAAAACCCTGCTTTATTCCTTAACACTGTTCAGCCTCTGCTCCAGGCAGCCTCTTAAGGCATCAGCAGCATCCCAAATTGCAGATAAATTGTTCTGGTGGCTGGGAGGGACAAGGGGGATATCCCTGCTCATGGTCCTGGAGCTCAGGTAGGATCTGGGATTGGGACACGGCCATCCCACTGGGCTGGTTGGGACTGGGGACATCCCCAACAGACCTGGGGCTCTTCCATGCCACCTCCCCAGAGCCCAGGGCCTCTCAGGGCTGAGAAGCAGCCCCAAGAAGCAGCTCACCCAATGGCTGCAGCAGGGATCTGCTGGATCTGCTCCTCCTGCAGGTTGCACAGGTGTTTGCCTCTGATTTCCTGGAGCAGGGGCCCTGTCAAGGAGCCCCCCAGGGCCAGGTACTTGCTGAGCAGCTGCTGCACCTGAGGGACACAGGGCATGTGGGAGGCACAGGCAGGGATGGGAGATGCTCCTGGGAAGGATGGCAGGGCTGCCAACCCCCCAAAACCCCACAATGCCTCCACCCTGAGCTGGGCTGGGACAGAGGCAGTCCCAGTTTGGGTTCCTCACCATCCATCCCCTTCTGCTGCCGTGGGTTTACCTGGGAATCATTCCACACTCCTCCCACATTTCTGAGCAGAGCAGAGAGGGTGTCACTGGATGTCACATGCCACTTGCTGATCTCCTCCTCTGTGTACAGGCGGGACAGCGTCCCCAGGTGCCTCAGCTTCTCATCTGGGATCTCTGACCCCTGGAAAAACTGTGGGGCAGGAAAGAGGGAAGGGGAAATAGGGCAGGAATGAGTGCAAAGGACCCACTTGGGCACCTTCATCCCTGTGCCCACTGAGCCCTGTTCCCTGCCCATCCTGGCTTGGCCTGTGCTGCTGGGGGGGCTCCTGTCCTGTGCCACCCCTTACCTCATCCACCTTTTTTTTCAGGACCCAGGAAGCCTCTGAGGTGAATGGCAGATCCTGCACAGTCTCCAGGTTTTCTACCAACACATTATTGCTCAGGCACAGGTCAAGGTCCTCAGGGAAGAGTAAGAGGATGTCCTCGATGTTGCTGGCGGTGATGGGCTCGATCTGGCAGCCTGAGGGCAAGGACTTGGTCAGGCAGAAGGTGAGTGATCTCTTCCCACCTGGCCCTGCTCCTGCTACAGGGCTCAGAGCCCTGCTCAAGGACAGGGAATCACAAAAATGTGGCTCAAGCCACAGTGGATCCTGCTCCCATCCCCTGGTCCCCAACCCATGGAGATGTCTCATTTGCTGTTATTCCCTAAAGTCATTCCAGAAGAACCTGGTGATGTTTTGCAGCCCACTTGTGCTTAGTCCTGTTAAAATCAGCTCAAACTGCTCCATGTCCCCTACCAGGAGCATCCTCTGCTCCTGCAGCGTCCTGCCCTGGGGACTGTCCCACTGTCCCAGCTCTTTCCTGAGTGCTGCCACCACATCCCTGCTCCCAGGTAAGAGCAACCCTCCCAACCCCGTGCTTCAAGGACATTTCCCCACTTCCCCAGTTTGTGGGAATCCCAGATTTCTGTCTGGTCCAGCCGGGAGCTCCCAGACCCTACCAGCCCCGGGCATTGTCCCCTCCCAGAGCTCTGGCCCGGCCGGAGGGAAGGGAAACGCTCACCGTCGGCGCTGCGCTGCAGCCGGGGCTGGGAGGCGGCTGAGGCTGCTGCGAGCGCCCTGAGGAGCATCAGGGATTTCTCCCGCTGGGAACGCCCCTGGCTGATGTAGGCGGCAGCGATGCTCCTCCTGAAATCCTCCTGTGCTGCCTGCGGGGACACAGGGTGCTGGGACAGAGAGTGTGGGGCCGGGGGGACGGGGACAGAGAGTGCTGGGACTGGGGAGCACAGGGACAGAGAGTGTGGGACCGGGGGAACGGGGACAGAGAGTGCTGGGACCGGGGGCACAGGGACAGAGAGTGCTGGGACCGGGGGGACAGGGACAGAGGGGTTCTAGGATCGGGGAGCACAGGGACAGAGGGGTTCTTGGATCGGGGAGCACAGGGACAGAGGGGTTCTAGGATCGGGGAGCACAGGGACAGAGGGGTTCTAGGATCGGGGAGCACAGGGACCAAGGGGTTCTAGGATCGGGGAGCACAGGGACAGAGGGGTTCTAGGATCGGGGGGACAGGGACCGAGGGGTTCTAGGATCGGGGAGCACAGGGACAGAGGCGTTCTTGGATCGGGGAGCACAGGGACAGAGGCGTTCTTGGATCGGGGAGCACAGGATCCTGGGTCCCCCAGCCTCGGAGCTGACCTGCCCGATGCTCCTCTCCCCCCGAGGAGGAAGGGACCTTACCTCGGCCACCAAGCTCAGCGTGGTCTGGTTCAACGCCAGCACGAGCGGCCCCAGATCTTGCAGAGTCTGTAAATCCCAGCTTGAAGGATCCCTGCGGCAGCAGGAGCACGACCAGCTCAGCATGCCCGTGGATCCCCACCCCTCCTGTTCACCTCCAGGAGCAGGAGGGCTCCTCACCCGTACGCTGTGTCCCCCGAGAGGAGCAGGGCATTGAGGGCGTCCTGCTGTGCCGCTGTCAGCGCCGGGCAGAGCTTCAGCTTCTCCAGGATGCTGGGGTCCGAGGCCGGGATGGTGCCCGGCTCCAGGTCACACACCAGCGCCCCGAGGCTGTACATGTGGGGTGTCATGAAAATGTCCCCTAAAATCAGTGCCGGGGTGCTGCCATCCCCACGGCCGGGTGGGTGCCCCCATATCCCGGGATTGGGGTGAGGGAGAAAAGAGCAGCGCCCGGGTTTCAGCCGGGGCGAGGCTCCCGCTGCAGCCGCGTGGAGGAAGGAGAATTCTCGGTGTGTTTGTGTTTCTGCAGGAGCCCAGCCCGCTGCAATCCCAGCTCGGAACCGGCTGCACAGGGCTGTAAATCCTCCCTGCCCAGTGACCCAGCACAGCAGCAGATGTGGCATAAACGCAAATTCACCCAACAGACCCCCCGGGACCCCCCAGAGCCCCCACCGGAGCTGGTACTTACTGGGGATGCTCAGCGTTGGACAGGACGGCCCCAACAATCAGGGCAGCCTGTGGAGAGGATGGGGGATGCTCAGCCCGGTAAGGAAAGGGAAGAAGGGATCTGAGATTCAGGGAATGGGATCTGACCCGGCTGGAGGACCCAGAGTGCTGCCCGTGGGAGCAGCCAGGAGCTGCAGCATTCCCTGGGTTGCTTGTGGGGACAAAAGCCATCAAAGCCACTCTCAGCAGCGGGGACACTCGGGCGGGTCTGTCCCTGCTTGTCTGGAGGTTTGGGAGCAGGGCATGGAGGGGAGGGACGGGACAAGGACAGGGCCACGCTGTGCTCAGGGGGACAGCAGGGAGGTGGTGGCTGTGCCGCCCTGGAGATGAGCACTGCGGGAATGGTGGCAGCTCCAGCGCCTGCTGGGGAATTTTGGGAAAGCCCTGGCACGGTGGGAGCCAGCAGAGCCGGCAGGGACTCACCGCTGTGGCTTTCACCGGGTCTGTGGCGACACCTGCGGGGAAGCAGGAGCAGGTTAGGAAACATCCCTGGAGTATGAAAGGCTCATCGGGGCTGCTCCAAGCAGCTCCGGGTTTGAAGTCTGGGAAAAGCCTTTCCTTTGCTAATTTCGTGTTTAGGAAATGCTGCAGATCACTATGAAGGGAGCAGCCCCCAGCCCGAGCACCCCCGGCTCCCTCCAGGAGGGTGTGGAAGACAAAAGGGGATAAATCCATCCCTGGAAATCTGGGCAGACGTCCCTGGGAAAAGCCTGCGGATGCTGAGGGGAGCAGGAGGCAGAGCCCTGGCGGGCTGAACCAAGCGGGATCGGGATGAGGAGCAGCACAGCTGGAGCATCCCTGTGCCAGGGGGTGCCAGGGGGTGCCAGGGGGTCCTGGGGCAGTTGTTGGGGATGGGATGTGACTCACGGAGGCAGAGGGTGACGGCTGCCAGGGCTGGGGCTGCCCACACCATGGTGCTGGTGCCGGGGGTTCGTCCTTGGAGCGGGTCCGGAGAGCCGTGTCCCACACTTGGAATTGCTGGAGGTCCTGGGGCTGAGTCTGTCACCCAACACTGGGACTGGAGCTGTTCCACACTTGGGGTCAGAGCTTGGGGACAGCACTGGAGGTCCTGGGGTGATTCTGTCACCCAGCACTGGGACTGGAGCTCTGGGGTCAGGGGTCTCACTGTGCCCACCCCATCTCTGTGGTGCTGCACAGACCCCCAGCCACCATGGGAGAGATTTTAAATCTGATATAACAGAAAACAGGGCTTTTCCCACCCGTTTGTAAAAGAAACTCCACAATTGTCCTGCAGGGACAGGGTCCCCCTCAATCCCCCAGCTCCTCACCAGCACAGACTGGGAGAAATCCAGTGCAAGGCAGTGGGGGAGCCCAGCAGGTGTTCCCCACCCCTCCACACCCCTCACAGGGATCCCCTGATAGAAAATCAATCCCTGCTCCTGAAACTGCCCCAGGGCTGCCCACAGCAATCCATTATCACTGTTTGAACTCAACACAAGGAATTTTCCCCCCCTAAATCTCATTTTCCTCCCCCCCCCCCAAATCTCATTTTTTCCCCTGAAATCCTACCGTGGCTGTGTCGAGCTGTTCTCCTCCCCCTCGTCCAGAGGGATTTGGCTCCGGGATGGGAGGATTCCCCCGGGAAGGTGCTGGTGGGGCTGGGCCAGGGGCTGGGCAGGCTCGGCACTTTATCTGTGCGGGGTGGGGATGTTGCTCTGCACACGGGGTGTGACGGGGCAGTTTCTCAACTCTGTTTTGTCAGGCTCCTTTCCTTCTCCCTGGCTTTGCTTTGGGGTTGTTTCCTACTTCTCATAAAGGGTCACTGAGCTCTGGGTTCAGCTGAACCGAAAGTGAACCCAGAAGGAGTTAAAGCCTCTGGTTTGGGAGTTTCTGTGCCCCTGAGGGGGATTAAGGTGCTCCAGGTGAGGGGGAAACCTGTAAAGCTGCTCAGGGGTTATTTTATAGGGCAGGTAGGGTACAGAACAGACTGAGCCCAGTGATGGGCTCAGCACCCTCTGGGAGGTGTCTCCCCTCTTCTTTTTCCCCGGATCACAGTAATCCCATTCCCTTTTTTTCAGCTTTTCCCTTGATCGTGCTCCAAATGTCAAGCACGTGTCATGAAGGGGACCAAGACCAAAGGAATCAAATCCTTCCCAAGGCTCTGAGATGACAACCTGGAGGAGCTGTGAGCACAAACTTTATCTGAGCTTTTATCCCGGGAAAAGGGAAGGGTGGCTGGGCTGGGGCAGGGCTGCACCCCCCTCTCAGCCAGGTTTGGGGGTCCCAGCCCTCACCAAGGGTCCCTGGAGCTGCTGGCAGTGTCAAGAGGGGTTTGTCACCCCAGCCCTGTCCTGTCCCCAGCCCCGTCCCGCAACCGGTCTTTCAGCCCCAGGGCTGGGTCGACGCCCATGGGTGTTGCTGATTTCTATTTTGGAAGGATTTACTGTGAAAATAGCTCCTGTTGGGACAGTAAAATTACAGAATGCTATGAGGCTACCGGAGGGACACAGCCCCTGCCCCGGGCTGGCTGGACAAAGGTGGCTGGAGCAGGAGGGCAGGGACACATCAGGGCCACTCAGGGGGTCACCGTGTCCGCTGTGTCCCTGTGGAGATCAAAGCTGGCCCTGAAACCCCCTCGGGAGCTGCCACTGGAGGATCCACTCTGAACTCGAACATGTGGGGGAACATCTGCCCCAGGCTGTTCCTGGGGACATTCCCAGGTCAGCTGTGAGCTCTGACTGCAGGTCCCTGTGCCAGGAGGGCTGGGAGTGCTCCTCTCCCTTAACCAGTGGCCCTCTGCCCACGTCTAGTTCATAATCTTCAAAAAATGTCCCAGTCTTAAAGACTGTAATAATTCCTTGGGTCTTCAGTAGGTTTTTCCTCTGCTCTGACCTGAGGAATGAGTGTCCCTCACAACAATCCTGCAGCTCACATAACAATCCTCTAAAATTCAATCCAGCCCCTCACACAACAATCCAGTCCCTCACACAACAATCCAGCCCCTCACAAAACAATCTTCTCACACTAATCCTCTCACAGACAACAATCCTCTCACACACAACAATCCTCACACAACAATTCTGCAGTTCACACAATAATCCTCTCCCTCACACAACAATCTCTCTCACACTCAATCCTCCCTCACACTGAATCCTGTCACACTCAATTCAGCCCCTCACACAACAATCCTCTCACACAACAATCCTCTCACACTCAATCCTCCCTCACGCAACAATCCTCTCACAACAATCCTCTCACAATCCTCTCACACTCAATCCTCCCTCACGCAACAATCCTCTCACAACAATCCTCTCACAATCCTCTCACACTCAATCCTCCCCCGTCGGGCCGGGTCGGAGCCCCGGGGCCGCTCCCGCGGGGCCGGTCCGGCCTCATTCCCCTCATTCCTGGAAGCCCCCGGGAAATGGATGCAGAGAGAGGACAGTGAAGGGCAGAAGACACGTTTAATACAGCAAATACACCAAAACTGGAACTGCGGAGTGCACGGGACATTACAGCCACGCCACAACCCCAGGGCACTGGAGGAGCCGCAGCCCCGTGGGCAGGAGGGGACAGGACGGGGACACGGCCCTGGAACGCAGCCGGGAAGGGCGCCTGGAAAACTCCCTCTGCCGGGTAAGGAAAATTCCCTTTTATCTGTGGCGCTGGGGAGAAGCAGCACGCAAAGGCTGGGCTGGGGTGTGAGGGCTCCTCCACGCAAACACGGCGGGCTCAGGGTGCCAGCCCCAGCCATGTCCTCATGTCCCCACCCCTCATCCCGGCCGCGTTCCCGGCAGGGCCCGCTCCCAGCGCGGACAAGGCTGGGTCTCCCCTGTGTCAGTCTCCGCTGTCGCTTTCCAGCACCTCCCGTGCGCGTCACTCCCCGAATCTTTGGCAAACAAAGGTTCCTTGTGTTCCTTCCCGGCTGTGGGACCTGCCCAGCCCTTCCCGGCCACGGGGCCTGGCAGAAGGACAAGGGGTTCCTGCTCCTCCTGCCCTCCGAGCCCCCTGGCACCAGCCCTGAGCCCACCGTGCCCGCTCAGTGCCCAGGGCTGGCACCTCAGGCCATCCCCGCCCTGCAGTGGTGGCACTAAGCCACATCATGAAGGGACACATAGGACAAGTGATCAATTCTCCCCCCACCCCCCCCAGAGATTTTGGTGACTTGCAGGGTGTGTTTATCCACAAGGAGAGGGCTGTGCCTTTTTATTCCCCCTCGGGGTGGGAATATCAGCTGTGTGAACCCCATCAGGTGTGTTTTCAACGGGATGGGGTTGGTGAGGTGATGACAACTCTGGGCACGTGCTGACGTGGTGCTTGAAAGCCCTGGGATGGGGCTGTGTGGCCCCAGCTGTCCTGTTCTCCTCATTTCCAAATGTCCCCCAAGGGCTGCAGAGGATGAGCAGGGAAGGGGAAAGCGAAGCAGGATGACCAGCAAAGCAAGGGCACTTCCAAGGAAATTTCTTGGCATCTGTCAAAGCTAAGCTCCTGCCTGCTCTTTCACCTTTGTCCTTTTCCTACTGTTCCAGAGCTTTCCCAAACTGCCCAGCTGAAGGACCTGCCTGCAGGACCCTCTGGAAACCTGCCAGGCAGGAGCCACCCCATGGGACCTACACAGGACACTGATCCCTCCTCAGGTGGGTGAGCAGAAAGGGACTTGTGTCCTCTGACCTGTCTCAGCAGGGATAAAGGCAGGAAAGGCAGTGCTAGAAGGAATAATAAAATCCATTAAAAAAGCTTTGGGCTGCTGGCTCTCTGACCACAGAAGTACTAAAAATACCTCATTCCTGAGACCACCCGTATTTTACAAACCCTAAAAGACTAGATTCTCTTCCTAGAAAATTGAAAAAAGTTTAAAATCCATTGGTATCAACTCCTTCACCTTCACCAACCTTTAAAAACTGCCCAGGTGGGCTGAGGGAGGGGAAGGGACCTTTCCATGCCCATCCCAGTCCAGTTTCACAGAACACCCTGGGACTGGGAGACTCTCAGTGTCCCCAGAATGTGCTCCAGCCCCCAGTCATGGCACAGCAGCTGGAGTGAGGGAATGGGGGACAGGGACACTGGAGCTGCACCCAGCACCTTCTCCCCTCCCTGTGCTGGGCTGCAATTCTGCATCCAAGCATGGAAAGGTTGTGGGAATGTCCATGGCAAAGGCAGTGCCCAGCTGTGCCCGGGCCCCAGGACAGGGATGGAAAGCTCTGGGGTCACTCTAAGCTGGAGTGTGACAAACTCTGCTGCTGAGGCCCAGGATTGGGAAAGGGACACCCCGTGACCAGATGGATGATGGGCATCACAAAACAACCCCACCTCAACCCCTCCTAAAATCCACCTGACGCCAGCCCCAGGAGCGAGGGAAGCCACAGAGGGAGTGCAGGTGTGGAGGCAGCGCTGGGGTCCGTGGGGAGCCGCTGGGACAAGGCTGGAGCTGGAGATGCAGGGATGTGCTTTGTGCTCACTGCAGAGCCCACTCAGCCAGCCACTGCTCACACTGCGCCCGCTGCTCCTCCGCCTCCTCCCTGCTGCCTTCACCCCCTGCTCTCTCCTCTCTGGCAGCCTCCTGGCTCTCCTCCTCCTCCTCCTCCTCCTTGTGTGTCCCCTTGTCCTTGAGCTCCTGGATGACGTCCTCCAGCCGCTGGGTGACGTGCTGGGGCACCCAGTTGCTGTCCATGGCGGTGACGAAGGGGTCGGGCGCGCACACCTCGATCAGCTCCTTGCCGGTGGGGATGCGCAGGTAGTAGGCGTGGAGCATCATCCTGTAGGGATTGCTGTCCTGCCTGTGGCTGTAGGTGAAGTCCCCCACGATGGGGTGGCCGATGGCACTGCAGTGAACCCGGAGCTGGTGAGTCCTCCCTGGGGGCAGAATGGGAATCAGGGACAGGGAATTCCTGAATGCCTCCTTCAGGGCATGGTGACAGTGCACCTAATGGCATTTGTCCCCCTGAGCACAGCAGGTCTCAGCTTCCCTCATCCCTTTCCAGGCTCTGCTCCACGTCAGAGCTGCCCCTGTCCCCACCTGTCAGTGGCTGCAGCAGCACTTTGGTGACGGGGTCTCCGCTGTAGGATCCATGTTCCAGCACGATCAGCTCTGACTGGCACGGCTTGGGATTCTCACAGCCTGCAGGAGAGCCAGAGGGGGTTTGTGATGCCCCAGAGCATCCCTGGGGGCGTGGGCAGAGCAGGGGATGGGGCTGCTCACCCTCTGTGCCCTCGATGCACATCATGTGGGTCATGCCCTCTGTGGTGTTCTTCCCAATGGCGTAGCGGATCGACATCCGGCTCTGGCTCACGTGTCCCCTCACCTGGGGGCAGGAATGTGCACACTGAGCCCTGGCACGTGCTCCTCACCCACCCCCATGACAGGAATCATGGAATCACAGTAAGAATGGGGCTGGAAGGACCTGAAAGCCCATCTATCTCCCCAAGCCCAACTCCTTGTTGGGGGCAAGGACACCTTCAACGTTGCTGCCAGCCCCATCCAAGCTGGCCTTGGACACTTCCAGGGGTGGGGCAGCCACAGCTTCTCTGGGCACCCTGTGCCAGAATTCCTTCCTGATATGCAACCTAACCCCACCCTCTGGCAGTGGGAGGCCATTCCCTGTGTCCTGTCTCTCCATGCCCTTGTCCAAATCCCTCTCCAGCTCTCTTGGAGCCCCTTTAGGCTCCAACTCTGAATCTTTCTCTTCTCCAGCTGAGCATCCCCAAGTCCCTCAGCTTTCCGTCAGGGCAGAGGTGTTCAGGAACACCAGAAGCCAAGGCAGGAGGTGGCAGGGAGGGCTCACCAGGGCCAGGTAGGCTTTGGTCACCAGGCGCTCCTTGAAGCACTTGTAGGCACTTCCCGCCGCCGCTTTGTTGAGTGCCACACACAGGGCCCCGCTGGTGGAGAAATCCAGCTGGTGGCAGAACCTGGGAAGGACACGGGGGTAAAGGAGCATCCAGGGCATCTCAGCAGTGTCCCCAGCTGAGGGCAGAGCCCAGGCGCTCACCTGAAGCCGTAGTAGGTGTCGGGGTCGGCCAGCTCGGGGAAGCGGTGCTTGAGCTGGCTCTGCAGCGTCAGCGTCTCGTACCACATCTTGCTGTCGATGCGCAGGTCCCAGTGCTTGTTGACCACGATGAAGTCGGAGCTCTGGTACAGGATGGACAGGTTGTCGATGGTGCCCGGCTCCATGGCCAGCGCCCTGCGGGGCAGAGAGAGCGAGGGGGAATCGGGATGAGGAACCGCCAGCTGCGGGATGGGCACAGCCGCCCCGGACACACGGGACGGGCAGGGCCTGGAGACGGGATACCCCAGCAGGGAACGCACATGTACCGATGCTGCCGAGGTCACCTGCAACCCTGCTGTCACCCTGCCTGTCCCCAGGCTCACCGGTGTCGCACCGTGCGGATGCAGGTCCCACAGCGGTACGGACGCTACAGCAGCGCTCCAGCCGCCGCCATGCCGCTGTCACAGCGCACGGCCCCGCCGCTGTCCCGCTGTCCCGGGCCGCCCCGGCGCCACGCGCGGAAGGCCCATGCCCGCCCCGCTGTCACGCGTGGAGGCCCCGCAGCCCCGCGGTGCTGCCTCTGCCCATCCCGGCGGCGGCCATCGGCCTTGCCCCGCTCCCCGCTGCTGCCCGGCCGCGAGCGCGGCGGCTCCGCCGGAGGGCACGGGACAGAGGGGAGGGGACAGGGGACGCGGGGCGGGGACACGCGCGGCGGAGAGCACCCCGCACCGGGCTGAAGTGACCCGGGACGGGGGGGAGGTGACCCGGACCCGGACCCGGACTCGGACCCGGCCCCGGCTGGGGGGACCCGGACCAGGCTGGGGGGACCCGCGCGGCGCCGCTGCCGCCGCCCCGGCCCCGCCCGCTCCCGCAGCGCCTCCCGGCAGCGCTCACGTCGCGTCCAATCAGCGCCGCCCCCGCCGCGTCCTCCCGCGCGTCGCGCCCAATCAGCGCCGGTCCCGCGGCGCGCGCGGGCGGAAGCGCGGCGGGCGCGGGGCCGGCGGCGGCGGCGGCGGCGGGGCGGGTGCCGCGCATGGCGAGCGAAGAGACCGGGCCCGAGGATGGGCCCGACGATGGCTTCTACGAGCGCTTCGCCGACGAGCTGGAGGTGCTGGCCGAGCTGGGAGGTGGGCGCTGCTGCGGCGCCGGGACGGGAGGCGGCAGAGGGAGGGAGGGAGCGGGACTGTGCTTTGCGCGCCCGTGTGCGCCCGTGCCGCCGCGGGTCCCCTCCGGTGACCGGCACCGTGGTCTGACCCCTCTTGCAGATGAGCCATCCCCACCCGCCGGCCCCAAGACATCGCAGTTCCGGGGCAAGAGGCAGCCGCCGGAGGAGCCCGACCTCCCCGGGGACTCTCCCGGCGGCACCGGTGCCAAGAAGAGGGACCGGGACTGTGTCCCCGCCGTGTCCCCGGCAGCAGCCGAGCCCCGCAGTAGGTTTGACCCGGTTCCCCAGGTGCTGGTGCCCCCGTTCCCCGCCCCGAGCGGTGCCGGGTGCTGGAGCATCCCCTGGGTACCACCGTCCGTCAGTGATGCTCTCCGCTTGCTCCAGCCCCGAAGCCGAAGCGGCAGCGCCTGGAAGCTGTTAAGAAGCTCGATTTCGGTGCAGACGATGAGCTGGCTCCAGATGTCTCCTGGGATGGTGGCCCAGAGGCACCTCTGGCTCCCCACAATACCAGGTTGGTCACCCTGAACCCCATTTTTAACAGGAGAGAGGGGAAGGGCCCTTCCCCTACTGAAGGAATTTGGTGTTTTCCAGCTCGAACCAGCTGGACATGAGTGGAATGGTCCCCATGCAGACCACACCACCCTTGGAAAAGAAGAGGGTCCTGAGGAGACCCCCCGTCCTGGAGGATTACATCAACGTGACATCCACCCAGGGCACCAGGGTCTTCTTGGTGCTGAGGGATGATCCCTGCAGGACAGGGCTGGAGGTGAGGAGGGATCTGAAGGTCAGGTTTGCTCCTCGGTGGCCTGCAGGTGGCTCAGGAGGGGGCTGTGCTGTGCTGTGTCCCTGCAGCTCCCGGATTCCCTGGGCTGGAACGCTCGCAGGCCGCTCCACTTGCTGGGGGTGCCCTTCTCCTACCTGAAGGAGCAGGTGGATGAGGAGGTACCACATGTCCCTGACCTTCCCCTGTGTCCCTGCCACCCCTGCTGGCCACAGGGCTGGCTCCCAAATTCCTGTCCCCAGCCGTGGACTGGGGGGTGTCTCTGACCCCTCTGTGTTTGTGCTCAAGCGTCGCAGGCAGGTTCTGGAGGCCTCCCAGCAGCTGACAGAGATCATCACCAGGTGAGATGCTGGCATGAAATCCCTCTCCAGTCCCTGCCATGCTGCTGCATTTCCCTCCCTCACGATAAAGTTTTGGGGGACCTGCAAGCAGAGGAGCCTTTTTGCCCTCATCACCCTCAGCCTGGGGGGGTCTGGGTGGAGTTCCCACCCTGCCCTGACTCCTGGGGTGCTGTGGGGTACATTAATTCCATGGTGCAGCTGCCTGGGGAACGAGCCCAGCACGGAGAGTCCGGATCCCAGCATGGACACAGCTCCAGCAGCCCAGGAGGAGTCTGCATCCCACTGCCTCTGGGTGGACAAGTTCAGCCCCCAGCGCTACATGGAGCTGCTCAGTGATGATGTGAGGGGCTGGGACAAGGGGGGGCTTGGGATGCGTGGGGTCATGCTCTGGGATCAGGAATTGCCTTTGGAAGCACTGGCTGGGGGCTGTGTCTGTGCTGCTCTGCCTGGGAGCAGTCCTGAGTCCCTGGGAGATTGGGATGGCAGCTTTGCACTGGAGGCTGGGGGTGTTCTGGCAGATGAATCTATGGAATGCCACCAAAACAAGACAAAAAAGATTGAGAGGATTTTAGCCAGAAATTGTTGGCCATTTTGAACTTTTTTGGGGGACTGTTAGAAGTTTTGTAGGGAATGGGATGTGCTGGATGAGGCTGGGAATTGCTGAGTTGAGCCAAGACAGAGCAGGGCCAGCAGGGATGGGGCTGATGTGACTCAGCCAGGCTTTGCCTGAGGGATGGGGGCTGAGCTGGGAAGGGAATCATTCCCACCTTGTCCCAGGGAGATGCCAGATGGGACCCTGAGCAGCCTCCTCCATGAAGGAGAGCTTTCCTCTGCCCCCAGCTGGATTTTCCCAGGTTCCATGGATTTTCCCTGCTTCCCTGCAGTACACCAACCGCTGCCTGCTCAAGTGGCTCAAGCTGTGGGACACGGTGGTGTTCGGCAAGGACAAGGCTGGCAAGAAGCCCAAACCCAGCCCTGCAGCTCATCCCCCACCCAGCCATGCCAAGGAACATCCCAACAAGTGGAAAACCAAGGTGCAGCTCACTGAGGAGATGCTGGAGGCCGAGCTGGACCAGCACAAGAGACCCAAACACAAGGTGAACAGGAGGGGACGTGGCTGTGGGTCCCTGTGCTGCCACCAGCCGGGCAGCAGCGTTGTCCCCTCTGAGGAGGAAGCCCTCCAGGGGTGACCTTCCCTTTGTGCCACAGGTGGCCCTGCTCTGTGGGCCCCCTGGCCTGGGCAAGACCACGCTGGCCCACGTCATCGCCAGGCACGCGGGGTACAACGCCGTGGAGATGAATGCCAGGTGAGCCCTGGGGGCCAGGTGAGGCCTGAGGGCCAGGTGAGCCCCTGGGTGCCAGGTGAGCCCCTGGGTGCCAGGTGAGCCCCTGAGTCCCAGGTGAGCCCATGCCCTGCCCACAAAAGAGGGCAGGTGATGCTGGAGATGATGGTGGCCCAGGGGTGATGCTGGAGGTGATGGTGATGCTATTATGGAGGTGATGGTGCTCTGGAGGTGATGCTGTTCTGAAGGTGATGGTGCTGTAGAGGTTGTGCTGCTCTGGAGGTGATGATGCTGTTTTGGAGATGATGCTGTTGTGGACGTGATGCTGGTGGTGATGGTGCTCTGGAAGCGATGGTGCTGTCCCAGGGGTGATGCTGTCCCAGGGATGATGCTGGCCGTGTCCCCACGCCCAAAGTCACCTGTCCCTGTGTCCCCTGGCAGTGATGACCGCAGCCCCGAGGTGTTCCAGACCCGCATTGAAGCTGCCACCCAGATGAGGTCGGTGCTGGGCTCCCATGAGAGGCCCAACTGCCTCATCATCGACGAGATCGACGGCGCGCCCGCGGTGAGCCCAGGGCACCAGCCCCTCAAACGTGACCCCATTAACAGCCCCCCACTGTTCCACAAGCAAGAACCCCATCCCTCCCATCCCGTTTCCTTCCCCCCAGGCCTCCATCAATGTCCTGCTGGCCATCATCCAGAGGAAGGACAGCGAGGGCGAGGCGGGCACGGGGCGGCGGCGGCAGCGTGAGGGGGGGCTCCTGCTCAGGCCCATCATCTGCATCTGCAATGACCAGTGAGTGTCACCTGCCCTGGGAGGGGGGACAGGGACACCAAACCCTGCCCCCACACAGGATGTGGCTGTTTGGAGTGTCTCTGTTTGAGAGCAGCTGCTCCAGTCCTGGGGTTGGTTTGGGGCCCTCACATTGAGGGGCTGGAAGGGAATGGAGCTGGGAAGGGGCTGGAGAATCCCTGAGAGAGCTGGGAAGGGGCTGGAGAATTCCTGAGGGAGCTGGGCAGGGGCTCAGCCTGGAGAAGAGGAGACTCAGAGGGGACCTTGTGGCTCTGCACAACTCCCTGACAGGAGGGGATGGCTGGGGGAGGTTGGGCTCTGCTCCAGGGAACAGGGACAGGAGGAGAGGGCACAGCCTCAGGGAAAGTTTAGATTGGATATTTAGGAAAATTCCTTCATGGAAAGGGCAGCCAGGTGTTGGTTGGTCCAGGCTGCTCAGGGCAGGGGTGGACTCCCCATCCCTGAGGGGATTTCAGAGCTGTGTGGATGTGGCACTTGGGGACATCATTTTACGGTGACTTAGCAGTGCTGGGGCAACAGTTGGACTCAACAATCTGAGAGGTCTTTCCCAGCCTCAATAATTCCAGGATTAAGAAGGGAATTCCCTGCTGGGCTCTCTCACCCCCGTTTCCCTGCCCCAGGTTCGTGCCCGCGCTGCGCCCGCTGCGGCAGCAATCCTTCCTGCTCAGCTTCCCCCGCACCGCGCCCTCCCGCCTGGCCCAGCGCCTCAGCGAGGTCTGCCTCCCCCAGGGCCCCGGCCCCGTGCCTCAGGGGCTGTCCCCCGTCCCCCTGGCTCCGTGTCCCCTCCCTGCTGAGCCCTGTCTGTCCCCAGATCGCGCTCCGGCAGGGAATGCGGGCGGACACGGGCGCGCTGCTGGCGCTCTGCGAGAAAACCGACAGCGACATCCGCTCCTGCATCAACACCCTGCAGGTGCTGGGGACACTGCCAGGGCCTGGGGACACAGGGATGGCTTTGGGGACACTGCCAAGGCCTTGGGGACACAGGGATGGCTTTGGGGACACTGCCAGGGCCTGGGGACAC